GACTGGTTTTAGTACTTTAAAAAATATAAATAGTCGGTGTAACATTTATGTAACAACAAAGAATGTCCACCATGCTTGCTGCCGCTACATACACTTTCCCAAAAATTTATTTAGTCCAAAATAAAAATCTTTGCAAATAGCATAATCTCAATCTTAATTATCAAATAGATATTTGCTATTTTCAGATTGTAAAAATTGCCTTTTTAAAAGATTGACAATTGTCAAAGATTTTCCAAATATTTATTTATTATTATTTTAAAATGAAATATTTGAATGTGTCAATTAATCAATAAATAATAATAATAATGTGCGTGTGTAATTTACATAACATCTTTTATTTATTTATTATTACATTTTTGTTTATTTGTTGCAACCACATTAACCATATTTATCAAAGAATCGAAAATTTTGACGTAAAATTAAAATCAATAAATCTTGCTTGTATTAATCATAATCAAAAAGACATGATAATAAATCGCAATTATAATTTAAAAAATTTGATTAATAAAGCATCATAATAAAAATAATAAGCACGCACATAATATAATAAAGTGTAAATAAATGTTAATTTATTATTAAATCATTTAATTATTAAATTCAATAGTGAAAATCAATTAGATTGATTGCTTAACAAAGCAATCAAAATCAATATTATAAACTATAATTACTACAAGCTATTACTATTATAAACTATAATAATCATTATTTGAGAACTTTCACAATGATATTTATTTTTTTTACAAACTTATGAATCAACCCTTGTAATCTCATGCTAAATTAACTTTATCGGTAATAGACTTGTAATTAACAATTGTAATAATAATAAACTCTTTCTTGGTTTACCAGTCAACATATAAACTTTCTTCTACCATACTTACTCATCATTCATCCATCTCTCTCTTTTTCTCCCCCCCCCCCTCCCCAGATAAACTTTCTGATAAACTTTCTAATAACTCTTCAATTAGCTATTTGACAAAATTCTAACATACTTTCAAATATACCTCGTAATTACACCCAAAATATTAAATTAAACATTAAACACATTAAACACACGCTATATCTTCTCTCTCACACAAACACACATTCACACAAATTCACACACATTCACACACTCCCACTTATTCTATGCTGTTTCTATCACTACTTATAATAATAACATTATTAATATTGTCACAATCAATCTGTCTAATCCATTATAAATAAATCTGTATAATAATAATAATAATAATAATAATATAATTAATTGACGTAATGAGGTTTTTTTTTAAGGATCATTAATTCATTCCATTTTCAATCAATATATTTCTAAATATATAATTTCTTTCTTTTTCCTTTCTTTTTTTTCATTTGTTACAAAAAAATAAACCATTATTATTATTCTTATCGATATATATAATATAAAAAATATTTCTCGCCCCTTAAGTTTTCTCTCTCACACTCGCATTTTCTCACTCACACTCATACTCACACTAATATAAAACCCCCATCAAATCATTAAATTTCATCAAGCATAAAAAAATATAAATATTTTTCAGAAAAAAAATAGCAGAATTGTAAAAAATAAATTTTTTTTTGTTACCCTGCGCACATAATTACTCTATTACTATATAATTACACATTCGCATTGTTTTAATCTTCTCTCCAATAATAATATTATACTGTATATATATATATATCCTCCCTCTCACATATCTATATCTAATTTCTTCTAATTTCTCTCGGTTCTTTTTCTACAAGGAATTCTTATTCCCGTAAGTTAAATAATCTTTGTTTTTTAAAAGAAATCACATTACGCGCTTTAATTATGATATTATACGCATATACTTTATTTCTACGTTTAATTAAATAGAAAAGATTTTAAAATTTTTCTAAAAGATGACTTCTCCATATCTTGTTAATAACTTTCAAGGTAATAAAGCTTTTTTTTTTTTGTGGTTTAATTATACGTACTCAAAAAGTTCTTGAATCACCCAATTCATTAATATTTAATTTTATATAGGTAATTCACTAATAATAATAATTGAGAATCTTGACATCGGTCATACATAATCTTTTTATATATATCTGTTTATTTAAAAAGCAGAAAACATTTTGACTGGAGCCAATAACAATAATAACAGCAGCAATAGCATCACTCTTCTTCACCCGCCACTTCCACCTCCATCAATTCCATCAATCCCGATCTCTATTTCCTTAGCTTTATCTTTTATTACAGTAAGTTTATATCTTTTTTTTGGCTTAATTTTATGATCCGAGTTTAATAACATTAATTAATGGATTTATTTCCAAATGTTAATAACAAATAATTCTTTTGATTCTTCATATTCTAACTCAATTCTTAATTATCACGATCATTACCTTTATCATGTTCTTTCTTATTTAGAATAAGTGCAACAGCGTGTGTCTAATTTGTGGACTTTATATTCCACAATACGAATCAGTTAGATGCTCAGCTCTTGAATGCTTTGTAGTTGCCCACTCCGGTATGTGCTATAATGATAATAATAACAATAACATTCATTTAAATATTTTTAAATATTGGCTATTTATGGAATTCCAAATATAGCTGACAATGCACTTTAAAATCCAGTTAGATTCTAAATTATTTTTATTTTGCGCATTACATAATTTACATGATTGTCAATTAACATTGTTGATTCTTTTTAATATCATAACTATTAAATAAAATTTGTTTAATCAAAAAACTCAGGGTGTCTATCTAGTCAAGGTGTAAATATCCCAGCATACTGGCGTTGTGGCTTGCATGTAATTATATAATTTCTCGCTTTATTATTATTAGAAAACTATAATTTGTCAACAATGCACTTCTGGCTTCCTTCCTTCCTTCCTTCCTTTGTTCTATTAATGAATCAATTGACAAATTATTATAATATGTATAAATCACTATTACTTAGACGAATAGTACTGCAACAACAACACCAATTACTACGACCACCACCCCTTCTAATCATCCTTCCTCATCTGCTACCACAACGACCACTGCAAAAACTTCTAATAATTCGCTTGCTACTTGCAACACTGCCATCACCAACATCAACCCTCCCTCTTTGTTTAATATTGCAACAACAACAACAACTACTACTACTACTGCCAATCCTATTCCCTCTTCTCCCGGCTTTCAAACTCCACTCGATATGTTGGTAGCCGCTGCAAACGAAGTCGTATGTAAATTAATAATGGATATGACAATTGATAATGATAATTTAACTTGATAAATAAATAACAATAATTATACTTGTGATACGTATTTACTAGTTATCAAACTCAAGTTCTCCTGTAATGACCGATAGCATGGACTTGGGCGCTGATGATACAACTACTACTGCCAACCATCTTCACCGTCATGATGCTAATTCATCCTCTTTCGCTGCCACTGTTGCTGATGCTGAAGGTAATAATTATTACTCCTTTAATAATAATGATGGTGATTATGATTATGAAAGGGATAAAAAGGGTGAAGAAGGCAATTAGTTCTTCAATATTCTACATATAATAAATCATATTAATCAATTGTTCCATTATTTTCCATTTATATAATTAACGCACGCACGCGCACATACACACACATATATACAAATATTATATAGCTAGGGAATGCCGACTCAGCCAGCTAGAAAGAACAGACAAGAGACAGACGACAGTGACAAGAAGTCTTCAACGATCTGCAAAAAGCCACGAGGACCAATTGTCTGCCAACAAAGAAGCAAGAATAAAAATTTATGATGATAGAAAAATACTTAACAAGGCGATAGAAAAAATAAAGAGTGCTTTGAGACCATTGTGCGACGATAAGTTTATTATGCGTGCATTAAGAAATACAAACGAACTGGGTAATCTCCAAAAAGATAATGTAGACGATGATAATGTCGTCTCATTGTTTCTAAATCTCTTGAATCACCAGCAACAACAACAGACACAAAAACAACAATCAAAAACAGTCGCCTCGGATGAATCAACCACGACCGTCATGACAACTACTAGTGAGACCAAGATTGTCACAAAGATTACCACCACCACCACCAAGAATAACAAGCGCAAACACACAGATCAAGATGCAAATGATGAAGAGCCGATAACAATTATCACCAAGTCCAATATTGGTAGAGCACCTGATAATATAACCAATTATGATGATAATGATAATAATGAGGATGATAAAGAGGAGGAGGAGGAAGAGGAGGAGGAAAGGTCAATTGTAAAACGGGTAAAGCGATCGTATACCAGAGGAACTAAAAGTGGCAGCAATAATAATAATAATAACAATAATAGACGAGCTGGACGTAAAGCTAGAAAAGATAATAATGTTGTTGTTGTTAATAGCAGCAGTAATATTAATAGTAATATTAATGATAATAATATTGGCAGTACTGGTAATGATGATAATGGTAGAGTTAATAATGACAGTAACGGTAATGATACCAATGACACTAATAATTATAACAATATCAATGACGGTAATGATAGTTATAATAGTAGTAATAACAATGACAATAATGATTTTAACGAAATTGGATATGGTCGTGATGCAATCTGTCAACCTGCGAGATTTAATGAAGATTTGTAAGACATTTACATACGCATTTCATTTCCCATTATCTTCACTCATTATATTTTTATTATTATTAATTGATATAAATTTTGTAAATTAGATATACACCTAGATGGGTACGAGGAGTTGGAAAGTCGAAGGAAGGACTTTGCCCACATTGTGTCCCTCCTCGTTGGTTAAAAACAAAAATTTCTGCCTATTGGTAATATTAAACGATTTTTATTATTAATATTGTCAAGTGTTAACCATTTTTTTTTTCCAAAAAATTTATTTCCTCCAGGTATCACCTTAATTATCAACATGGTATTTCCTCAATAACAGGTAGGAGATTTTCTTCGCCTAAAGAAGAAAGAATCAACAGTAAAACTAATAGGAGAGAAGCTTTGTGCCATAAATGTGGCAAGTGGATCGAAAACCAATCACCACGTGACAAGGAAGTACTTGTGCCCGAAATATATTGGTACAAACATGCTCAGAAATGTCATCATACTGGTGGTGTTGGCAACAACAACAACAGCTAATTAATAATTTGCTGAAGATGGAAAAGGGTAAGATTAATATCGGCAATTAAAATAAGATCGGGTTATAATTGTAAACGTCAGTCTATCTATTAATTATTAGTCATTAATGAAACTTCTTTTTTTGTATATTTATTTTTTGGATTTTCGACCATTTTTTTTTTTTTATCATTTTATATAAAATAAAAACAAGTCTTATATCTTATACATACCATACAAAAAATACAGAGTACCCATTATGTACTATTAAAAATCGAAAGGAAACTTTCGTATCAAGATTTTCAATTTTGTGAAAAGTATTAAAACATAATCAAGTGTACTTTATCTTTGTGATCTTGTGAATTGAATTTCTTGGCATGATAATAATGTCCTAGTTTAACCCAAATTTATTCATTTTAATTTAATTTTCAAATCTTATTCATACATTTCAATCTCTTTTTTTCATTATTTTTACATCTAGTGTAAATGTGATTTGGTGTTTATTTTACTTGGCATTTAAATAGTGATATATAGAAAGAAAAAATAAAAAAATATACACACAGGATTTATATATAAATATCAAAAAATATTCACTCGCAATATTTAAAATAATTTTTTTTTTTTCAATTTTTATATAAAAAAAAAATTTAATTTTCAAATTTAACATAATAATAATAATAATAATAATAATAATAATAATAATAATAATAATGAATGCACCAAAAAATGAAAAACTTTCTCTCAACGTAAACCTTTCAAGAGACAACACAAATTATGTGAGAGGCGTTCATATATTTGGAATATTATCAAGTTTAGTTACATTGATATTGTTGTCGATAGCAGCAGACGCAAACAAATCGCTATACAACAAAGGAATACATTATGATGGGACTCCGATTGTTGCCGGCACAGATACAATGCTTCCGAACTGGATACTTTTGGGTATTGTGGTCTCTACAGTCGGACTAGTTATACCAACAGCAGCTCTCGTTCTTTTCACGGTAAATAAAAAAATAAAGTACCCGTTGATCGAAGCAATCGTCTTTGGTTTGTTGTCAGTCGCTTTTCTAGTTTATGTTATTTCCGGTGCCATCAATACAGACATCGTAGATTGTTTTACTTGGGATGGAGAACAAAGACTCAGATGTTCTACTCCTAAAGGTGCCGAATTCTTTGCTTTTATTGGACTTATGACTTTTATTTTTGCTGTTTCTAACGGTGCTAAAGAATGGTGGAAAAATAAACATCCAGAACCATTTAATAATAATAATAATGAGATGGTGAATAATGAGGTTGCTTAGAGAAATTAATTAATTGTTGTGTGCAAGGGGGGGAAAAATAGATTAATTTTATTATTATTTATTTATGATTTTCATTTATGATTTTTTGTTAATACAAAATACAAATATTTTAAATGTATATGGTAGTAATTTTGTAGTAATTTAATGATTAGTTAATAAAGATTTTAAACATTTTTATTAATAACAAAAATTATTATTAATAATAACCTTTTAACCATTAAATAATATTATGAAATTTATTATATCAGATGATATATGTAAATGTGTTAACATTAACAATGTTTCTATAGTCAAATCAGAAAGAAGAAAAGAAACGAAAAAAAATTTATTTATAAAATTTTTGGTAAGTTTAATAATAATCGGATGATTTTTGAAACTTATTGTTACTATTTTTTGTACTGTTTTGAGATTTTTTTTGGTTACATTTTATTTTTAAGATTTTTATTCTATTTATTTGTTTGCCATCAAAAGAAAGAAAAATCAATTTTCCAAATTCAAAAAATTAATTAATTAATATAAATAAATTTTAATATATATATTATACATATATTGATAATAAAATAAAATTAATTAATTAATTAAAAAAAACATTTTTTATTTTTTAAAAAATAAACTTAAATTATTATTATTACATCAACAACAATTAAATTTTTTTTTCCTTTACAAACATACATACTTGTCTATCTTTCTTTCTTAATTTCCAATATCAACAAAAAAATATGGCTCGTAGAGGTCCACCAATGACTATTCCTGGTTTTAAATCACCATTTGAAGAATTTTCAGAAATTGTGTAAGCATATTTTTTGTGTAAATGAATATGTAGATAGTGTTTGTATGATGTTGTTTGTTATTATGCTCATTATCAAAGGAGAATAATTAATTGATTAGCTCGTATTATAATTGAAATGGTTTTAGTGATCCCTCCGGTAAACTTAGCTTTAGTGGGAAGGCTATTCTACACGCACAAGGAGTAGATTTCACAGAAGGCACCAGTTACAAGATTAATAAGGAGGAATTTGAGTTGATGGAGGAACTTGGGAGAGGTCAATATGGAACTGTAAAGAAAGTTTTCCATAAACCTACAAATGTTGTCATGGCGATGAAGGTATTACAGATAATGGAGGAAATGATTGAATGAATCATTGTATGAATTAATAATAAAGTCACTATTAAAATGCGCATATATCTTTATCTATCACACACACTCTCTCACGTATTCTCTCGCATATACTCATTTCAATAGGAAACTCGAGTGGAATTCGACAAAGAGAAATTTAAACATATTCTAATGGAGTTAAATGTTCTTCATAATTCATGTAGTCCTTACATTGTTGAATTTTATGGTGCTTTCTTTATTGAATCGTGTGTTTTTTATTGTATGGAATATATGGACGCTGGTTCGTTAGATAAATTATATGGTGATGGTATTCCAGAAAACGTATTAGCAAAAATTACTATTGCTGTAAGTATCATTGTATACATTACATACATGAATATTTATATATATATATATATTACTAGTGTGTATTATATTTAAATCGTATGATTTTTTTTTTAATGGTAGATGGTAGAAGGCCTTAGATTTTTAAAAGATCATTTAAATATTATCCATCGTGGTACGTATTGCAATATTATTAATTAATTAATTAATTAATTAATTAATAATAATAATAATCAATCAATCAATTTGTTGTTTTTTTTTTTTAATATTTCTGTAGATGTGAAGCCTACAAATGTTCTTATAAATAGAAAAGGTGCAGTTAAATTATGTGATTTTGGTGTTTCCGGTCAATTAAATATGTCATGTGCGAAAACCAATATTGGATGTCAGAGTTATATGGCTGTACGTGTCATTCAATATCTATCAGTATATATATATATATATATATATATATATCCATGTGTTCATGTATATAATTTTTATTATAGCCGGAAAGAATAACAGGTGATCGTACTAATTTTTATACGGTACAATCTGATGTATGGTCACTTGGACTTTCGATGCTCGAACTTGCTACTGGAAAATATCCATATCCTAGCCCAGATACAAGTGTTGGTATTAGTTTATTTGCTCAACTGAATGCTATTATTCAGGGTCCTCCACCCACTCTATCCGAAGATAATTTTTCTGAAGCATGCAAAGATTTTATAGCTCAATGGCATGTATTTGTTATAATATATAAAATATACATTATATACGTTTATGCAACATTCATTCTCATTCTCGTTCTCTATTTCTATATTTATTTATCATATATATAGTCTGAAAAAGTTACCTAATGAACGTCCAACATATGCACAATTATTGGAACATCCATTTTTGAAAAAATACGAAAATACAGATGTTGATATGATATCATGGGTAGAAAAAGCATATGCATCAAGGAAAGATTTGGAGAACAACTTATAGTTAAATATATTTATTTATTACACACACGCACAAATATATATATACTCTGCCTAACAAAATATATCATATTACTTGCCAGAAAAAAATAAAGAATGTTTATACTAATATATTCTATTTTATGTAAAATTTAAAATCAATAATTAAAGTGATTATAATATATAATTACTATAAATTTAATAATTACTATATACCTAAATTTTCATTCTTGATGTTAATATTACTAATAGAGTTTGAAAATAAATGTAACAATTTATTATATTAATAATAATAAATATGAATTTCAAATTAACTATTTTTTGTGAAAAAAAATATTCTTGCAAAATTAAAAAATAGGTATTTCTTATTGCTATTACAATAATTATAATTATTAATGCCTTAAAATGATTTCTTTTCATTTTTAATTAATCAAGTTAAATTAGTTGGACAATCATAATTTCAAAGTAATCAAACTAATAATTATTATGATTATTCCCTTCTGTCGCATTAAGTTTTGTCCGTGTTCTTTTTGTACAGAGCTGTGACTATGTCGATCCTTTCAAGTGGGACTTGAAATATTCAAAAGTTTTTCAGATCCCGACCAAGCTCTTGTGGATTTTATGAGCTGCATCAATTCCTGTGATGGTCTGGGCTGTTTTAATGGTATACCCTTTTGTGCAAGAGTATGTAAAATCTTCTTATTCTCCAATTTTTTAAGAGAATTCTCTTGACACTTTATTAATTTTCAAGTATGCGAAACCTTGTTGATATGAGGAGCTGTAATTTAAAAGAATGGGAGTTTTATTTCATTAAGATGAGGAAGCGAAGGATAATCAACATCCATGTGTTCAGCTGACACACACTTCTTATAATTATTTATAATTATTTAATAATCACGCAAAACAAATCATTTTCTGTAAATAAAAAGAAGGGCATCAATCAAAAAAAAAGAAAACCTATGGTTATAACATATCTTCATCAGAACCATACCAAATAGCACTTCCATATTTATTAACGAATGCCTAATTCTCTTCAACACGCGTTCCAAAAAGACTTTGTTTTGTAAAACACTTTCGCTATGTTCTTTAAAATAAATATTTGTGTGTTTCATATTAAATTTCGCAGTAAGACAGAATATCAACTTTAGTTATATACAGACCTCTGGAAAATTATTCAAATATAATTATTTTGATTGTATTGGATTAGGCAAATACCAACGAATGGTTTTGGTTTTGTGATCGAGGGTTAAGTCAAAACTTGGAAATTGTTATTTTATTCTCAAATGAGTTGTTTTTCGAATTCAAGTACGTGTTGGTTATTTTTACTTGGACAAAACTTGGACGGATTTTTGTTTAAACGTGTCCAAAATCCATTTTGAACACATTCCTGGCGCATTTAATTATCTCTTCCATAATGAGACTTATCATTGATATGGTGAAAAGTAGACGCTGGTTGAAAGTTTTAACCAAAAATTTATTATTTTCAACCAACGAAAATTTTTTCTTACGAAAGCCAGCAAATTACCCCGCCCACTGAATAAATTGCCACAACTATTATTGGCAATAAAATAAATGTTATGGCATCCCATTACTCACATACTGCCAAACGTGTGAAATGGACCACGTACATCATATAAGATAACTATAGATAGGTTATGATATCCACTACTCGCATGTGGACAGGCATGTGAAATATGCTATGTATGTCATATAGCATAACAAGTCGTGGGTTATGGTATCCCAATACTCGCATGTGGCCTGGCGTGTGAAATGGACCACGTACATCATATAGCATAACAGGTTGTCAGGTTATTGTATCCAATTGGCCAGACGTGTGAAAATAGACCACGAATGTCATATAGCATAACGACTGTCGGGTTATGAGGTCCCATTATTTGCATGTGGTCAGACGTGTGAAATAGGCCACATTCATATGTTGCCAGCTTTATGAAATCGGCCACACACCTATGTAACCAGATTCGTGTTTTAGGCCACTAGAATAAGACGAAATAACATAATTATATGTGTTATTTCATCTATTAAACTCATCAATTTATCGAAACAGATATTTCTAAAGTTATAAAAGAAAGTAAAGCTTTATTTATTTATTTTAGTGTTAAAAAGGCAAGAATACCTTTATAATAATGCTCTCACATTTTTAAAGGGTGGATTTAAAGATATTACTTGTCCAAAATTAGCACAAAGTGTTGACTGAAAATTACTGTGTTGCTTGTAGGGACGCCTCAAGTAGCATAGTTATATATAGTTAGCTGTGTGTCAACTTGTATATATATATATATCAGAAAAGCCTTGGGATTATATCTGACTGAGAGTCTGAAGGATATAATAGATCATTATATTGGGCTGTGACCCTGGAACAATATAGTGTGGAATCTTCAATTATCTTGGGACCAAGAGTCTGAACCAACATAATTAGAGTCACCAGAGGTCTAGTGGGTTACCCATCTAAGTTAACTAATGTTAATTAGGCAAACTCGGATAGCATGCTCACAGTATTTTAAATACAACCTTTTAACAGAATCATTTATATTAGGTATAAATATTCGATATCATTCAAAATGATGTGAATGTTGGTGAACATGTTAATATTTGATGGAAAATCTACATTTTTGGGGGAATTTTTCTAGGAAAAAAAACATATTAATATGCATTTATAATCATAGAGTTTATAATCTTTGAAGCGCGTTCTGCTTCATATTGGTTAATTATCCGTCCAATGTAAAAGGGAAAAATGGTTGGGATGGTGAAGGAAACTACTTGTTATGACTTTTTGTATACATTTTATCTTGGTAATAAAGTGGATATCAATTATTTTTAATATTTGAAAGTTTTAAATTTTTAATTTATAAATTTACACCCAATCACGTGAATCCATTTTTGGAAATACCTTTAAAATTTTTTATTAGATTTTTGAAATCGCTATTTTTTTTTTTGAAATTTGACCATGTGGCGCAGCATCAAGAAGTCTTTGGACCGAGCCCACCATAATAATTATCAATTATCATTGTTATTAAAAACAACGCCAACAAAATCATCATCGTTGATGTTATCAACATCTTTTTTTGGAAATAGACAATTTATTCGAAAGCTTCATATTCCTAGCCCTTTACCTTATGATATAACAGAAGGAATTGATCCATTATTTGATGTGGATAATTTTGCAGAAATATGTAATTATCGAGCCATGCTTATTGAGAAATTAAATTCGCTTGTATCTGGTTAGTTTATAATATATATATATATATATTGCTAAAAAATAAACAATATCAACAGGTAATACTAATTATAATATTGATATTATGGTTATGATGGTCTAATGACTATAAATATGATAGATACAGAATTTCAAAATGATAATACATACAGGATCATAATGAGAACAGCACAAATACCATCACATGCTTTATTATTTAATTATGCATCTCAATCATGGAATTTAGATTTTTTTCTTCAAAGTTTAGTAAGTTCAAAGTTCAATATCAATGTATCAATGTATCAATATAAACATTAAATTTCAAGATATTTATTTTTTTTTTTTTTAAAAAAAAATTACATTAGAAAAGTAATGATAATGAAAACAAAAAAAATTATGATAATAATATTAATAAAATCCTTAATATGAAAATAGCAGATGAATTTAGATCTTTTGATTTATTTAAAGAACATGTAAATATAATATTTATATTTATAAATTACATTGTATTTCATTATACAATCTAAATCATGATTATTTTATAGTTCACAAACATGGCATTAGCAATATTTGGTTCTGGGTGGACTTGGTAAAGGAAATAATATTCAAAATGATATTTATGATTAAATTTATTTATTTACATAAATTATATCATCATGGATGGATATTAATAATTATAAGATTATATTGCATTTTAGGCTTGTCAAAACAGAATATGATACACTTTGTGTTGTCAATACATACAATGCAGGTTAATAAATAAATTAAATATTATTTCCATAGATAAAAGATTTAAATTATTATTATTATTATCTTTAATAGGAACAACATTGGATATAACAAAATTACAGCAAGAAGATCCAAACAATCATCCATCAAGATTTAATAAAACATCAGACAAGGATGACATAAATCAAAGTCAAAATCAAAATAAAGGATTATTTAACATCCTATCTTCTTCTTCTTCCTCTTCTTCCTCCTCGTCATCATCATCATCATCGTTTTCATTATCATCATCAATTTTATCATCACCATTTCAAGAACAAGACACTTTAACACCTAGTAATCAACCATTACCACCTCCATTAATAAAATTAAGCATGGAACTACCACATAATAGTCGACTAACACCACTTTTGTGTCTAAATGTTTGGGAACATGCCTACGTTAAACAATATGGAATTCTGAACAAATCCTTGTATATTGAAAACTTTTGGAAATGTATTAATTGGGAAGTTATAAATAATAGGTTTGGAGATGTGTCATCATAAAGTTTATAAATTTTTAAAGTAATATTATTTTTATTAATAAATAAATATTATTAGAATAAGTTATAAATAGATAATCTTGACCACCTTCATCCACACAAAAATATCTAAATTTTTAAAAAAATAAATAATATTAAACGTCAATATTCTTTACATTCCTGATATTAATTCATTATATAACTCAAAATAAACCAATTCACCACTAATTAAAGATATAACAGTTGGTCATTTCTTTGATGATTATTTTGTTTCCTTTCATTAGCACAATGATTAATTCTGATGTGTCTTACTCCTTGAGAATATATCTTATATCAAGGATGTGAATTTAATATAAGCAGATTAATAAAAATAATTAGCGAATTAAATAAATGTGTATCTGAAGTAATACGTTGTTACTGAATTGAAGGACATACAATTAATGCAAGGAATGCTAACCTCTTCCATAGTCTCACTAACAGATAATAACAATCTATAACATTAAATAGAATAAAGGCATTTAAAAACTAATGCATATAATCAACACTAATAATATAAAACAGTCGTCCATTAAATAATCCAAGTGTGGTAATTCATAAAGGAGCATTGGGATTTCCTGATAATTCTGAAACAGCCATTTCACACACTTTCTCGAGATTCTAAAAGTTGATCGTGTTCCTCTACCACACAAAGTACATATTATTAATTCATCTAATCCATCAGCTGACGTTTCAATGTCAATCTTCACTTGAACATTCAGGTACCAAAGACTTGTAAAAAAGGATCCATTGACTATTCAAAAAAAAAAAATTTCAATGCTTCAGTAAGTAATAAAGTAATGCAAAATATTTTTATTTGGAGTAATAATATATTCATAAGAATACAATTTGGTAAGCATGCCATTATTGAGTTTTTTAAATTTAATTAACTCAAACTATATAGTAAAAAAATTGTTCACTTGGTATTAATATGAGACGTGTAACTTTTACTATGGGATGAGTATCTTTTTTTTTTGAGATCATTAACATTTACACATCTAAACTCGATAAGTCGGACATTTATTTATATTATAAAGAATTGATTGCTGCGTCCGACTTATCGAGTTTAGATGTGTATTAATAATTTACAAATAAAATAACAGGGGGTTGTGTAATGCGTGATTTACAATTTTGTAAGAATATCTGTGGTTTTGTGTGTAGAAGCGAATATTATCAGACTCCCAGAATTCATAGAATAAATAAATACCAAAAATGGCAACATTTACTTGATAACAATAATAATGTCACTTTGTTTTGTTGCCCATATACCTAAGGTAGTTAGTTCTCAATTTTTCACATCAATAATCACAGTTATTAGATATCCTCATTTCACGTAACAAAGTAATCCGGAACATGATAATCAAAATCAATCAAAATATATGCCATAGGTACATATATCACTATGAGCTGATGAGAAAAGGCGATTTTGGGATTTCTCTTGGATTTTATTCAAATAGTTTATATTTAATTAATTGGAGGTTTTTGTGTTAATCGCAATTTATTTAAAACAAAATAGAATGGTCATTTAGTAGCTTCAAATGTGTAATACTTGTGAAATTTTTTGCTTTGAGAAGTTTATGTGATAAAGATCCATCAAGCTAATCGATCCAGCCAAAGTAACATCTGATCGAATAAACAAATAAACAAATAGAAGATTTTCCCGCCAATTTACATTATTATTATTATTATTATTATTATTATTATTATTATATTTATTAATGCATTGACCATTGTACATCCATCAACTAGCTTCCAGGAATTTAATGATTTTTTCAATTACCCAATTCTTTATTATATTTGCTATTTATTATTATTAACATCTTCAATCTAATCTTTATCCTGGAACCCGTCACACCTTTAGCCAGTGTCAACACTGACTTAATCTATTATTATCAGTCTTTGATAAAATTTGGATGATTGCCTAATTTTGAAAATTGAAAATTCAATTAATGTTATTATTTTGTTTTTTAGTTTATTCATTGTGATAATAAATGATAACCTTTTCATTACTTAAGGAATAGTTAAATCCCAAATTATTTATTATTTATTTATATTTTTGGAAATAGTATTGGTAAATCTAAAACATTTCAAGCTTGAAAAGGAATTTGTTGATATCTTCACACAAACTTTATTTTCTAATTGGCAAAAAAAAATTTTTTTGTATATCAATCTCTTGTTTTTTTAATAAATAACTTACACACACACACACACATACACACACAATCATAGTTTTATTATACTCGTAGCTAACAATCGTTCTAACAATTTAATCAATTCTATATAAATAAGTAATATCCATTTCCACTACTAATCATCTCTCTGAGGGAAGATTGTTGTCACAAAAAAAAAAAAATAATTGTTCAGGGATAAAAAAATACTTTATATTTTTACATCAATATAATAATGACAATGGATTTTGAAGTTGGTACTGTTGTTTATGCCAAACTCAGAGGATATCCTTGGTGGCCAGCAAGAGTGTGTTTATAATAATTTAAATCGATGCATAAATAATACTGTAGAATTATTTTAAATTTATTATTATTTATTTACTAAATAATATTTCATCCATCATTTCATACTATTAATCATATAGATTGAGAAAGAGGGGAACTTGCCCAAGGAAGTTCATTCTAAAAAACCAAAGGGGCAAGTTACAAGCGTTAAATTTTTTGGAACAAAGGATTAGTATGTATATATACTATTGTATTATATGGTGTTATAATTGATACATATTAATAAAATATATTTATAATATATAACAACAATAATAATGTGAATATATATATATATTGATTGGTATTAATGTCAATTTTTAAATAATTTATAGTGGATGGGTTAATAAAGATGATTTAAAACCATTTGTTCAAAATGAGGCTGAAGAATCGTTGGAAAAAATGAAGAATTCTAAACGGACAAATAAATTATTAGAAAAATCAATTCGTGATGCATTTGACCCGTCGTCTCTTGATGAAGATAATAGTAGTATGGACACTGACGACTTCAATCATGATAACGAATCATCGCCTAACAATGAAAATGATGAAGAAAATAGCAACAAATCATCACTATCATCATCTACCGCACCAAAAACAACTGCAACAGTAAGAAATAAAGCTCAAAGTAAAGGGAGAAAAATTACCAAAATATCTTCCGCCACCGCCACCACTAACGTGCGCAAGAGAAAAGGAAGGCAACCTTCCGAGACTTCTAACGATTTAAATAACGGCGGAAAAAGTAGCAAAAAACGCAAAGCAAACAATAGCGGAGCAACTGGCTCATCTCATAATTATGATTATGATGATGATGATGATGATGATGATGGTAAAGGTGAAGCAAATAGTATGGATGTAGATGAAAATAATGTTAAAACTGAAAAAAGTACTAATGTTGCTCAAGAAGCCAACGATTCAAGCGAACATCAGGCAGAATCATCTGCTCATGATCATTCTAGTCCAATCGAAAATCAAGAATCATCTACCGCTAGATCAAACAAATCATTAGAACACGAAAAACTTGAGAAAAAATTGCTACGCTTAAGACGTAGATTACAAAGATTGGTACTTAAGGATGAAGGGATTGAGCCTCAAGATGTTGAGAAAGTCAATGAAATATTCGAGGAAATCGAAAAATTCCCCGTTTCTGTTCCGATGTTGAGGGGCACTAAAGTGGGTAAATTAATGAGGGAGATTTCTAGAAAAAAATTTGATTATGATCCATCTAATATTGTTGGAAAAAGCACAGATTTAATCAGCCGATGGCAAACTTTGTTAGAAGACAACAACAACTTTATCATTCAAATCGATAATGCACCATCACCAAAAGATGAAGCAGGCACCAGCACTCACACTAATCATGGCGACCAATCACCCATACAAACTTCCCAATTAGCCAAAGATACTAATGATATTACTACCACTACCATTGATACTATAAACGATGATGACGTTGCTAAAGATGATCATGACGTTGTTAAAAATGATGATGTTACTAAAGATGATAACAATGTTGCTAAAGGTGATGATGATGATAATAGCCGCGTGACATGTCACGAAAATTAACGGAGTGTATTTTTTCGAAAAATTATAGTGGTCGGAATTTTTAGCATGCAGTAAATCGGTGTAATCAATAATACCAATTTTAGTAACGATTTTTTATGTAATTTTGCACTTTTGTTGATTTGTTGGAAAAAAAAAAATAAAAAATCTATGTACAAAAAAGGATTTCGATGTTTCACGAATTTAATCGCGTGTATAAAAATATATAGACTGCAGCTGCAGTTAGTTGAATTTCGATTCTGGCAGTAATGGTTTTGTTTAACAGATTATTGCTGTAGGTGACTACACACTAACCTTCTTGTGCTTGGTTAAATGGCTTGGATGGTTTTACGATCCATGTGATCCATGTGAAATTGAAATTAGCCAATCAAATCCACAGATTATTTTCGCAATTAAATAAGTGCAAGTCACTTAGTCCCACAACTTTCTGTGCCACGCCGCCAATTTTGAGAAATCAAAAATGCAATTAAAATTTTACAGTCACATGATTTTTGAAAATTGTCAAGTGTCTTGAAAAATCACGTGACAAAAGATCTGCAATATAAGGGAAATTTTTCAAATTTTTATTTTGTTTCAATTCATCTATTTTTGATATTAACTTTTTTGTGTGCAACACGTCATTTTAGGGCTAAACATAGCAAATCCAGCAAACCTGTGCAACTTTGAAGCTCAAATTCTCCACAATAACATGACATATCAATGAGATGAAATCGTGATTTTGTAGAGGAAGGTCTTGGCTTCAAATACACGATTTATTTTGGGGTGTTGCATTTCCATTTTTGGAGAATTTGAAAATCTATACAACCAATAAAAAGTTGTGGGACTAAGTGACTTGCATCATATATACGGTATTTTACTTAACCATTGTTGGGACTTTTTTTCTTTTCAATAATAATAGAGAATGTTTGTTGTAATAAACAAAGAGGTAAGAAATTATTTTTTGATAATCTAATACTAATAATAATGTGTACTATGTTTATATATGTTTTAGTTTCAGTGATGTTTGGATTGTTTACTAGTCTTCTTAGGCTAAAGAGAGGCTTAGCTAGAAATGCAATTCCGAGTTTTGTTAGCACGTCAATTCCCGTCCGTAGTTTCGTTTTCTGATTGATATTAATGTAAAAACTTGAAGAAATTAAAAAAATAGTTTTTTAAAAAAAGTTGTGGACTGAAGATGGTGATTTTGATGAAACGATCTTTAAGATACTTTATAGTAACAACTATATAGGGAAAATGTTTTCAGATTTGCGACATTATCCAAGCAATGGGGCATTTGCCCTTGAGAAAGATTCATGTGTTGACAATTAAAAATTGTTACAATATTAAATTTCTTTCATGTGCTTTCTTCCAGTTAACCCATTATATAATCAACCAAGATTTTCGCTAGTGATAATGATAATAGTGATGATAATGGCGATGGTGATGATAATACTATTGATGATGATAATGGTAATCATGGTATTAATAATAGCAAGCATCCATTACGTTAACAATGATGGTGGCGGTAGCCATTACATATACTGCTTCTATTCATATGCATCAGTACATACATTAACTACACTCACAAGAAGGATGAGTCATTGAGGTTTTAAATTATTGATTCGTTACTAAAAAAATGTTGAATGAATCATATCCAATCAACTCGAGACAAAAACCATGTTTTTTTGATAACTTTTTTTTCTATGTGGTGCACAGATCCCTGCTTATTTCAACTTTTTGTTTACTTATTTATTTGTTTGGGTCCAAAAAACTGATTACCAAGAAAATAAGTCTCTTAATTATTGAAAATTTTTATCAAAGGCTCATTTAGATTCGGATTTATAAAGGTAGCATTATTTTACAGTTCATAATATCAATACGATTTTTGAAAACCCTTACCAATGATCAATAGCTTAGTTTATATATGTATCGCCTTGTTAGTAGACAAACATAATAGACAATCCACAAATCAATTGATTAATCCATAAAAACGTTGTAAATATCATCATGAATATAAAGTTGAAAATTAAGTTTGTCCGTCATCTGTATATGACATATATGTGCGTGTGTAACAAAGAGCACAAAAAATTGTATGGGGATGGGATAATGCAAATTCTAAAATATAGAATATTGTTAAAAAAGAAAGTAAAAGGTATCGAGTGAAGTTATTTCTTGGATAATTACATGGTATTAAACACACTGAATATTTTTTAAATATAGAAAAGAAGTCATGACATTGATAGTAGCAATATCAAATTTAAAGCAATCAATTAATAGAGTGTTGTTCATCATCATACTTGTGATTGAGTTAAATACAGTATATGAACATTTTAAAAGCAATAAGCATGATCTTGCCACCGTTGTTCGTCAAGTATGCAGTATGAATGATTTTTATATGGGTTTAGTAAATAGAACACCCATTATAACATAAAGACATTGTCTATCTATCAAATACACCGTCACTATAACTCTGCCGGGCTTAGATTACAAGAGATCATTAAACGATTATACTAGTAGCTTTCATTTATATATCGATAAGTATCTTTACGTACCATCAAAAAACTATTTTTCGCTTCATTACTTTCACATCAATTCAAGGCATTCAGTGTTATTTATTACATCAAAGGCGTAGTGCAAAATGGTATTAATCTTCAATAGAAAATAAATTTTCTTGCTTTTTAACACATTAATATTGCAACGGAAAATGTTAGATACCACGTGACAAATGTAGTAAGGAATTGATTCATATTTATTGTAAGAAAGTTAATACATCATCAAGATATATTTTAAGTGTGATAGGTGAAATACGTGAAAAGAAATTGTTTTTCCTTAACAAATGTCGACAAACAAAACAGATAAGAGAAAAAAAATGGTCATTCTTATATTAAAAAGTGCCCCAATTTATATGTTTTGTGTAACTATCCTCCCCAAATTTGACATGTAGACTCATCATTATGCACTCTTTCTTTTGAGGGTGGTTATCAATAAAATGGAAAATAATCTCGAGGTAAATGAATTCCTATTTTTGAGATGATCTCCATCACAAATCTCTGAAATAAATAATTCATTTAAAAAATTTATATAATGTACATTTTTTGGAGATCTGTATATTTGTAAATAGCTTTTCTTTAGTTAGGTTATAATGTGAGGAGGATATTCTTTAATGTTCTTGTGGATCTCCAAATAAAAATTATGAAAATTATATTTCAAAATAATCTCGCTATAATTCAATTGATTGACATAATAATTTCTTCCGATAAAAAGATTTAATCAATTAAAGAAAGGTCTTGATTTGTTATTTTTTAAAAAGTAATAATTGCCACAATTTTAATTTCTTTAAAAAACAATACCGATTTTTTCATCCAAGAAAGTAATAATAAATAATAAAAAGAAAGGAAGAAAAAAAATCATAGATTTGTTTTTTTTTCTTTTGTATATATTTATATAAATTTTATACTAAATTATAATAACAAATATAAGAATTTTTGCTGGGAACTCAAATAAGAAAAATTTTTAAAAAAAAGGAATTCATAAAAAATTTAATTTTTCATAATTTTCTTTTCCTACTTTAAAAAAAAAATTTTGCCAAATTGGAAAAAAAAAGAAATAAACGTAAAATAAGGAGTAATTGCAGAACTTACCTTAAATTTTTGTTCATCATCAAAGAAAAAGCTTATAAATTTATTTGTGTTTTAAAGAAAGGTCAATCAATTGAAAGATATCATTAAATTTTCTTGTGATCATAAATGTAACCCAATCTATATTTTGAATGTGTTTAACCAATATTATTATTTATTATTATTATTATTATTTTGTTATTTTATAATCTCTCATTATTTGTCGATGACCTTCTATTTTCCTCTGTATTATTATCACTTGGCATTGGACCCCAAGAATTATCCCAAAAATTATCCCAATGATTAGGATCTGATGACGATGCAGGTTTTCCCCAGGGATCATTTGGGTCCTCAGGTTCAGTTTTACTAGGGGCATGAAACTTTATTCCATATTTATCTTCTTCCCACAAAGGTTCTTCAGCAAATTCTGACGATGATTCATTTCCTACTGCCTGTCTGTCGTAATCTTTTGATCCTTCATCATATCTACTAAAAGATTGTCTACCATCGTAAGTTTTTAATCTCTTGTTATCATTTGACTTGGGTGGAGTGGTGGTCACTGATCCTTTATAGCCTCTGTTAGGAGGAGGATACTTCGGTCCTCCTCCCCTATTATTATTATTATTATTATTATTATTATAGTCATCAGGATATGATCTAGTTCTTTTTCTGTTATCATGGTTGTCATCATTATATCCACTACCACCGCTAGCACGGACATTCAAATTCTTGTATTCATCATATGTAGCTGCAGATCTTTTCAAATCATCATTGCCACCTCTTGGATAAGAAGTTTTTCTGTCCCAATCATCAACTCTTGAATAAGAAGATTCCTCATGTCTAGATTTACTATTATAATATTGCTCATAATCATTTTCTGGTGGATAAGATCTATCAGAATGTCCTCTACTACTACTACTATATTCATGTCTTCTACTATTATCACTTTCTGGGTATTGTGATCTACTATCATGTTTTGGATATGTTTTATTATTATTATTTGTGTCATATTTATCATTTCTACTCCAATCTTGACCATCAGTATAAGCAGCCCTCTTATTACTATCAGCAGCAACAGGAGGATAATTATAACGATCTCCAGACTCATAGCTATCAGGATAATCCCTTTCATAATATTGTTTACTATCACGGTGAGACCTATTACCACTACTGCCACCACCAGCGCTCCCGTAATATTTATCACCACGATCATTTGAGTAGGAAGCCCTATTATCATCATATCTATCAGCAGTGCCGCCACCTTTTGAATATGGAGCTCCTCGATCTCTACTATTACCTTCGTAAGAAGTCCATTTTTGACCTCCTCCGCCACTACCACCTCCTCTAGATGAATAAGATTTATCACTATTTTTTCTTTCGTCGTTCCATTCTAAATCTTTAGCATAAGATGTTGCTGATCCCCAGCCTTCGTCACCTCCGCCTCCTCCACCCCCTGATCTTTGTTCATAACGTTTACTAATACTATAATCGTAATCGTTCGTTACTTCGTCATTATATGGTTGACTAATCCTTCTAGATGATCTGGGACTTTCGTAATTACTACTACTTTCCATAATTTGGAGGTTTTTTTTTGTTATTCTTCCTTCTATCAACAGCTAAAATATTATTATCTGTGATGTTATTCCTGTATTTAAAAGTAAAAAATTTACAATAACAATAATAAAAATAATCCTATTATTATTATTATTTTATGAAAACTTATATAAAAAAAAATGTGAAAAAATTTTTCCTATTATTATTATTTACCGCAACAATTTTTCCTAAATATCAGGTAATATTTAACAACTAGGCAGGGTATATAAATTTATGAGGTAAAAAACGTTGTCGTAACAAAAAAAAATCATAAAAAAAAAAGATAAAAGCAATAAAAGCTTTTTTTTTACTCTTAAAAGATGCTCGTAATCGCAGACCTTCTTGCTAATACTATCTCTGCTGGTATAATTTATATTATAATTTATTGGATTTCTAAATTGATTTCAATTGAATTTTTTTTAATTACAATATATTTTTTTACTCTCTTTTCTACAATTATGTTACAATTATTACGATTGTTACATATATTACTGATTACAATTCATTAAAAATTTTGAATTAAAAAAAAAAAGAACGAGAACTTCGTGAAGATGCTCAAAATCAACTTCAACAGGCAGAGCAAACCAACTATGTAATTAATAACTATACTACGATTTTAATATAAACGCGTCGTCGTCACTTTATGAATTCGCGAAGAAAAGATTTATTATTAAACAAATATAATTTCTCTTTACTACTACTACTATTATTATTTTGTCAAATCAGCCGGCGTATATTGCAATGCTCCTTCAAGAGCTTGTTAAGGAACAAGAAACTTCTGTAGTTAAACCAGCTGCTGGATTAGCTATAAAAAACTCTTTAGTATCAAATGTATGTAGAAACGATTTTTAATTTTTTTTTAGAGATTATTGAAATTATCAAAATAAAAATAATTGTTAAATTTTAATTTAACTTGTAAAAGGATCCTGTAAGAAAGAATGAATTAGCTCAAAGATGGTTGTCAATAGATGAAGAAACAAGGATACAATTTAAACAGATGGTAAATTATATTTTGAGAGAATATACTATTATATATAAATTTTTCTAAATGTGTGTATATTTTAAATCATAATTAGTCATTACAAGCATTGACCCTTACCGATAGTAATATTGCTGCACAGGTATGTTATTTTTAATACTAAAATTATTTGATCAAAAAAATTTTTTGTGATTTTTATAAAATATTTACTTATATTTACACTCTATCGCTTAAATATTTACCCATTAGGTGGTTTCAGCTATTGCTACTATTGAACTGCCAGTTGGGCAATGGGGAGATTTAATGAAGCAATTATTGGAATATGTCACCAATACTGACAACACTCAATTGAAAATGTCAACATTAGCTACTATAGGTTTTATTTGTGAAACGATTGTAAGTTAATCAAAAAATTTGCATATTATGTGTGCTTATATATTTATAAATATAAATGTATTATTATTATTTATATTCAGGAACCTGAAATATTAGCTACTCAATCTGGTGCAATTCTTACTGCTGTTGTTTCTGGTGCAAGAAAAGAAGAGCCAAAGTAAATATGCATATTTTTTAATTCTATAGATGTTTAATTATTTTTCTTATAAAAAAACCTCGAAAATCAAATTTTTTTTAGTCAAGATGTTCGTAAGGCTGCAATAAATGCCCTTTATAATTCGCTAGAATTTATCCGAGAGAATTTTGAAAGAGAGGTCAGCTATATATGTGTTATCTTAATTGAAAAATCAGAAATTGCCAACTTTTTTTTGCGTGATAATGTATTCAAACATATTTCAATCTAATTTATGACATGTAGGGAGAACGTAATTATATTATGCAAGTTGTATGTGAGGCAACACAAAGTTCTGATGTAAATGTACAGGTTGCAGCTTTTGAATGTTTAGTTAGAATTATGCAGATATATTATGATAAAATGAGATTTTATATGGAAAAAGCATTATTTGGTGTCAGTATATCTAATTATATTTGCAATTGGATTTATTATTACGATTTAGATTATTTAAATTAATAATAAGATTTATCTTGAAAATAGTTGACTGTTCTTGGTATGAAGCATGATGATGAGAGAGTTGCTTTGCAAGCTGTAGAATTTTGGTCAACAGTTTGTGATGAAGAGATCGAATTAACTAATGAAGCAATAGAGGTATTTAATCATAATCATAATGATGCTATATATTATACATTATTATTAATTGACTTTAATTAACTAGGCAGAAGAAACGGGTGAACCATTAGATCGTTTGAGTCATAATTTTGCAAAAGCAGCATTACCAGAAATATTGCCAGTTTTACTTTGGCTTCTCACCAAACAAGTATTTCATTTATTTTTATTTATTATTATTATTATAATAAAAAATACAAATAAGATTAATTCATATTATATTAATTAATTAGGAGGAAGAAGCTGATGAGGATGATTGGAGTGTTGCAATGGCTTCAGGAACTTGTTTAGCATTATTAGCTCAATGTGTTGAAGATTCTATTGTTGCGCCGGTGATTCCATTTGTAGAAACTAATATTCGTAGTAATGAATGGAGATATCGTGAAGCAGCTGTTATGGCATTCGGCTCTATTTTGGAGGGACCTGATCATAAAATGCTTTCCACTCTGGTCAACCAAGCACTACCTGTTTTGATTGAAATGATGCGTGATCCATCACCTCAAGTTAAAGATACTACAGCTTGGACTCTTGGACGTGTTTCTGAACTGTTGATTGATTGTATTAAACCCGACATTCATCTCAATCCTCTTATTTCTTCTTTAGTCCACGGCTTAAATGATTCTTCACGTATTGTTGCTAACTGCTGTTGGGTAAAATCATTATTATTAACAAAATATGATAATTATGATGATGATACTGACAATGTGGCGATAATAATGATACATTAATTAGGCATTAATGAGTTTATCTGATCAATATGGAAGTAAAGATACACCTCCGCCATCATATCAATTATCAAGTTACTTTGAAGGCCTTATAGCTGCTCTCATGGAAGCTACTGAAAGGTATTTAATTCATTAATCAATTATTATTTATTGCAATTGAAATATGTTTATTAAAAATTTTTTTTGCTAATTAATAATAAAGACAAACCAATGAATCAAATGCAAGAACTTCTGCTTATGAATGTATTTCTACTTTGGTACAAGGAGCTGCATCGGTAATTATCATCATAGCAAAAATTTGTTTGTTGATAATTTATTTACTTTTGTTTATTGCTTTCCTATTTATGTATAGGATTGTTTCCCAACAATTCAAAAATTAACTGTGACCACACTTGATCGTCTTGATGCAACATTTCAAGCACAGGTATAAATTAGTTATATTTAATACGTGTGTGTATATGTATATATATTAATAATGAGCTCATGTTTTCTTCACCTTATTATTTATTATCATTATTATAATTTAGAATCAGATTGTAGGACAGGATGAACGACTTGCACTTTCAGAGCTTCAATCTAATCTTTGTAGTGTTTTGACAGTACGCTATAATTAATTACAATTAGTCTTATGTTATGTTTCTTATTGAATTATGATTTTTTAAAAAATTTTAATTACTTATTGTTTATAGAGCATACTTCGTAAACTTAAAACTGAAATTCGTACATTTGCCGACAGAATCATGTCAACCTTATTATCATTGTTTTCTACTACATCAAAACAATCTACAACAATAGAGGACGGTTTCTTGGCTGTTGGTGCCGTGACTCTTGGTAATTAATTAATATATATATGTATATATTATAAAGATATTTATTCTAACTTACATTTATTTCAAAAACTATTGATTTTGATTAGCCGTTGAGAATGAGTTTGTACGTTATATGGAAGTATTTACTCCATACCTTTGTGCTGCTCTACAAAATCACGAAGATGTTCAAGTCTGTTCAATCGCAGTTGGTCTTATTGGTGATATTTGTCGAGCTCTTGGGGAAGATGCCTTACCTTATTGTGACACCTTTATGAATGCTCTATTACAAAATCTTCAAGTAATTGCTGCTTAACAATATATTTATAATATTTGTGATTATTATAATAATTTATTTTTATTTTTCATAGACTCCAGCTTTACATAGAAATGTTAAACCAGTAATCTTGTCTTGTTTTGGCGATGTTGCACTTTCCATAGGTAGTAAATTCGAAGTGTATTTGGAAGTGGTAATGATGGTCCTTGGACAAGCTAGTACTATGAGAGCATCTGATATGGTAAACTCAATTTGATTGAAAAAAATAGATTGCTTTTTAATACGAATAGACATCGAATGTTTATTCAATTTTACATTCGTGTTTTTTTTTAATATAGAATAATTATGATATGATAGATTATGTAATAACATTGAGGGAATGTATATTGGAAGCATATGTTGGTATCGTACAAGGATTAAAAGCCGAAAAAGGTTGGTTTTCCTATTTTTCATTTATTATAATATTCGAATTATTTATTTATTTATTTTATTTTTCTTGTCATATAGCTGATTTAATTCTACGATATATTGATCAAATATTTAATTTTATTACAATGACTTGGAGTGATGGCGAAAGAAGCGATTCCATTACTCGGAATATGATAGGACTTATAGGGTATATACCTTTTGTTTGTTTTGAATAATAAACCGCATTCTATTTCTTATCTCTAAAATAATTTAATTCTCTAATAAAAAAAATAGAGATTTAGCAGAAACCTTCCAAAATGGTCAGATTAAACAATATTTCCAAAATGATTATATCGCAGCAATATTGAAAGAGGGAAGAAACAATAGATCCCTACCTCCAGGTACAAGAGAAATGACTCGATGGGCCAGAGAGGTATTAATATATATTAATATAAATTAATAATAATAATAACAATTACAATAACTTATATTAATTATTATGCATTTCTTAGGTGGTTAAGCGCGCGAGCTCATAATAATTTTTTTGATTCCATTTATTAATAAAAATTATTAAATTATTAATAAAAATTTATAAAAAATTTTAATAATTAAATTTTTAATTAAGTTTTCAAAAAGGAAAAATACGGGTTTAATAACTATTGAATTAACCCATCCTTTAGAGAATAATTGACGCTTATATTATTATATGTACTGATTATATTATTCATCTTATTATTATTACCACCCACCCCTTTTATATATATTATTTAATATCATCAATTTTTTTTCTTCATTTTTTCATTTCATTTTTTCTTCCTTTCCACCCCTTATTATATCATTTTCCCTTCCCACTTTCCCCACCCACTTTCCCTTCCCACTTTCCCACTCCCACTTTCCCACTCCCCAACCCTTTTCCCTTTTTTATAAAAAAAAAACCAATAAATTTTTTAAATAATAAAAAAATAAAAAAAAAAAAAATTTATAACAAAAAATTGTTAGTTTTATTCAATTTTTATATCAATTATTGGTGTGTGTCATACAGCAAATCACGAGCGATTTTTTTTATGACGGGAAAATTTTACGGTTTAAAATGTTTGAATTAATATGAATGAATCAAAGGATCAGACTCTTAAACTCTTACCTTTAATGCTTCTCATAACCAATGTGAAACATTGGTATTGATCCTATATATAAATGTATGTGCAATGTAGGTTGATATGGCATTGTTTCAACATCACTTCAAATAAGTTTTTTAAATTCCCTACTTTTCATGTGCAATTAAAAAATAGCACAACAGAAAGGATAGATCACCTTAAACTAGAATCGGATGTTTCCACCAGGTGGAATTCCACTTACTATGATAAAACATCCATATATGTTTAAAGAATAATCCAAAAATGAATGTTATAAGATGACTGATCCAAACAACATAGTGGAAGTTTGTTGTTACACCAAATGTCATACAGAACTCATTGCTCCTGAAACTTCACCAGTATATAGTTATTACCTCTCTAAATTGGAGATCAAGTTCCGATCCGATTCAAATCCAGTTTATCACTTACTTTTTATTGCCCGTGTGTTGTAAAGCTACGTTGCACAATATAAAAAATTAGTGTAACATTTCAAATTTCCACTATGCTGGAGGTCTTTATACTGAGCCAACTATAGGATGAATGTAAGGATACCAGCTGCAACTTTTGATGACGGTTGCTACCATCTTTGCGTCATATAAAAGTGATTGCAACTGCCTTTACAATCATTTTGTTTCCTTTTTTGGATTGTGGCATGGAACACTAGCTGAATAGGAAAAATGGAAACAAAGTAATGCATCTATTTTTTCAATATCCATAATGAAGTTATTAGTGGAGGTTTTGGATTCATTGATATTTATTGAACATTTCAATTATTTTTTGTTCATCTTCAGTAAAATAATCTTTCATCAACAAACCTAAGTCAATGATTCTCAAGGCACTGTATCATTGTAATGCTTTTTGCTATGGAATCATTTTTTCATCTTCGATTGGGGTGTTAGATATAAGTATAATCACAAACATATGAGAAATCAAATAATAAAGAGCACTTACCCTTTCTTTGCACCATAAGCATTTTCTTGTTTTTTTCCTTTTCTGATCTTGTTTGTCACTAACCATCAGAGAGGATAATGAAGCAATTCACAATGGTTTTTCCTCTTAACTATGCAAAAATTCATAATAAGGTAAAATGTGTTTATTTAATTAACAATGGGAGGGGAGTAATTATTCAGTTGTTATATGTTATTATGAATGTTATTATCAATATTATTCTTCTAACTTGGTCTAAACAGCATAGTGGAAGTTTGTTGTTACACGAAATGTTATACAGAACTCATTGCTTCTGAAACTTCGCCAGTATATAGTTGTTACCTCTCTAAATTGGAGATCAAGTTCAGATCCAATTCAAATCCAGTTTACCACTTACTTTTTATTGCCAGAATGTTTGCTGTGTATTATAAAGTTTACATTGCACAATATAAAAATTTAGTGTAACATTTCAAATTTCCACTATGCTATGGTCTAAACCAAATGATTTATACCCCTTAGGATCAGTGTTGTGCAATTGGAACATTGTAATGCTATTGGAATGTTCCAATGTGGCTCCAATATGGTTTCAATGTAGATTGACCAATAAAATTTGTGTATGTGACACTCTAATTGAATTTCATTGGTTAACTTCATTGGAACCACATTTGGAACGTTCTAATTCCAATTAGAATTTGTTGGAATGCTCCAATGAAAATTTATTGGAACCATAAATGGCACAACTCTGCTTAGGATATTACAAATAACATGAATTTTACAATATTTTATCCAATAAATTCTATTATAATTATCTATCTTGTATAACTCACCAACAAAGTGGCTTACTATCTCTAAGTTAAATATTTAGGTCAAATGACGAAGACCTACAGTATAATGATAACATTACACGACTGCGGCGCAACCGTTACACTAAATATAGAAAGATGATCGTTGATCGTGATGTAATATTTAGTGCATCACATGACTACCGTTCTAAGTTTGTTCTAATTGGTCAATATTAACCGGCAATTGGTTGGTCCACAATTTACAATCTCACAATGCCATTAAAAGAATTAAAAGAAAAAATAGTTCAAGATAATAATAAGATACTTTTTGTTGGTAATAGTACACTTTCATTCTGCTTTCTTTTCTTAATGTTTATTATTTTTCTTTCTTGGTAAATTTCACAGGTAATCCTTTCCTTCCCTAGATAAGCTTCCAGTGTTTGAGTATCATTTATTTGAAAACATATGGTGTAGTTTTCTCACCTTGTTCTTTCTTCAAACTACCTCTAATGGTCTGTAATTTTTAGGTTCCATGGTAGACCTAATGTAAATTAACTTCTAAATATTGAACCCTGAAATTCTTGGTAATACCAATCAATGTTCACTTTGCAGTCAGGGATATTTCCATATTGGGATTCGATTCCAGAATAGTCACTGATCAATTCATTATATGTTACAAACAAATTCACAAGATACTTCTTGTTATATCTATGTTACATTTTCTAAAAATAAATCGGTTTGTAATAACTGAAAAAAATACTATTAAACTTGCTCTTTCATAATCTGTTAATAATCTGTAATAATCTGTTGATT